CCAACTTGAAACGACAACTACTGCACGTAATGTATTTGACACAGTTGGTTCATTTCTGAAAGCGCATAAGCACAGAGGGTGCCCCAGCTATGCTAGGATGTCGATTTGGATTTCAAGGTTTGGTATTGAATGAGTCACCAAAAGTCATCGGAACTCACTGTATGATTCATCGGCAAATAATAGCAATGAAGACACTGCCACAAGAGTTACAAGTCATGAAAAGCGTCCTAAGTTCTGTCAATTTTGTAAAGGCGAGCACTTTAAACAGTGGATTGTTTTCGCAACTGTCCAATGAATTGGACGCGCCGAACAATGCGATTTCACACTGAAGTGAGATGGTTGTCGGAGGAAAAGTTTTAAAATGTGTTTTTGAGCTTTGTGTTGAACTCAAAACATTTTTAAATAAAAAAGCAAGACCGCAGTTCGAAGCACTTTTCAGCGATAAAAGTGAACTGCAGAAAATTGCTTACTTGGCTGACATCTTTGCCATCTTGAATGAGTTAAATTTATCACTGCAAGGACCACATGCAACATGCCTCGATTTATCTGAAAATATCCGATCATTCCAAATAAAACTTCAGCTTTGGCAAAAAAATTGGATGAAAATAAAATTTACATGTTGCCTACCTTATCTGCTTTCTTTGAGGAACATGACATTGAACCAGACAAAAAGATTATGATGATAATTTCTGTGAACGAAAACTTGCACACACTTGCAGACAAAATTTCATACTTTCCAAAACTCCCTGACACCCCATTTGCACTTGCCTGAAGCCCATTCACAGTCAAAGTTCCTGAGACAGCAAAAGAGTTCATTAAACTTATTAACAGCGATGCAGCAAGAACTGATCTCTGTACAATGACAGTTACAAAATTCTGGATCAAGTGTCTGTAGTCATATCCTGTTCTGTCTGAGACTGTGCTGCACCTTTTTCTTCCATTTCCAACAGCATATCTTTCTGAAACAGGGTTTCCCAGCTTGTTGGTTATCAAGTCTAAATACAGAAGTAGACCTGATGTGGAAGATGATCTTTGTTGTGCTCTTGCAAAGACTGCCCCGAGAATTTCTGATCTGGTGAGAAAGAAGCTATCTCAACCTTCCCACGGACATTGGCTTTTTATGCATACTGTGGCAACATGCAGCAATGTAGTTTACTGTTGTTAAGATTGTTACCCATGCTACACCATGCTTCAAGACAAAATTTCATTTATTTGTAATTAGAAATAAATATTTCACAATATATAATTACATATTGTTTTTGTGATTAATCACTATGCTTTAATTATGTTCAATATGTAACAATGAAAATATATCCTGCATATCAGGTATTTACATTATGATTCATAACAGTAGCAAACTTACAGTTATGAAGTAGCAACGAAAATAATTTTATGGGGGAGGGAGGGGAAAAATGAGGACCTAATGTCGGGGGTTTAAGTGGAGAGAAAATGTTTTGAGAATGATGTACAAATGCGCTTTACACAATTGATGTGTGTATGGATTGCGATAACAGTTGTATGAGCCCCTAATAAAATGTTTAAAAAAAAAAAAAAGAAAAGAAATTTATGGTTGTGAGTCACCAGCACACGAGGAACTGTATTAAAGGGTCGCAATATTAGGAAGGTGGAGAACCACTGGTCAAAAGACTATAGTCTCAAGGGTGCCTCCTTTCAGACCAGAAAGCCAGGTCTTTTTTATGATTTATGTTTTGTTCCACCTTTGGCTCCCACTCTGCCCAGGACCTCATACAGTCAGCAGTGGTAGTTGGGTACCATCTAGTTCTTCCGTTTCAGGGTTGTGGAAGCTGGGGTTCACGTGCTCCATTGGCTATTTAGACAAATGGTTTTCTTGTGTCTTTGGTTTTCTTCATTTGTTTTCACTCCAGACCAAGAAACCGTCAATGGCTGCTCACAACTTTGAAGACTTGGAGTCACTGTTAACCACAGTAGGATGTAGAACACTGTCTTTGTTGGCTATGTGATGTCAATTGACCTTAGCATCCACCAAGACTACAGTCCTAAGCTCTCAGGTCAATTCATTCTCTGTATTTGGCACAGGTTTCTACAAGTACCACCAGTTAGTGTCACTGAATATTCTTTGATTGTGCAACCATTCTCATCCTCCTTTTGTGACTTGTTCCTATCCTGTTAATGCACTGTCCGCCCCTAAGGTTATTATAATCTTTGGATGCACTTTTGCCAATTTGATCTCATACAGCTAGTTCTTTAAAAAGTATAAAGCTCAAGGCAGACATTTTTCCCTAGTTAAGCTATAGTTTGAAGAAGACTTCAGGGGATATTTTTAGTTTTAAAGCACTTAACTAACAACAGTGGAACAAATGAAAGATCAGTGTAACAGGTGAGTAATTATCAGCTTGTTTATATAGTTTACTCTCCTTCAAGCACAAACCTAATTTAAAGGGAAAAATATGTTTCTAGGAGCACAGGTATATGCAACAGCTTAAATGTACGGAAATCCACATAAGAAGCAGAAGAACATAATGCAAAATAATGGACTTGATATGTTTTGAGTGTATAGCCAAAGATACATGCCTTCCTGCGAACAGATATTGCCACAATGAAGTTAGAATTAAATGTGGACATGGTCAGGTGTAATAAGGCTCTTTTAAAAGGTTGATAAATGGCTCTCTGACTCCAGTCCGCCATGGGTCTGATGCTTACCCTGTGTTTCCTGTACATCAAAGATGTTTATACCTGTGGCCTGCTAGTTTCTAGTTGTAAATCTCTGAGGGTGCTCTGTCTGAAATATGTGTATATCAGAACCTAAGCTGACAGGGTAGTTGATTCACCATATTCTTTATAAGCACAAATGTATTACTAAGAAATAATACCCTTTCCCTGCTGCTGCCTCTCATTAGTCTGTCAGCATTTCTAAGTAAGGGTAGGAATATACAGACTAGAAGTCACACATACTACTGTTAGCAGACATTTGTTTGAGATTTTAAATAGGAAATCTTACCTGTAAGAGTTTAGTCTAAACTATGCTCTTTTGGAAGAAAATGATCATTAACGAATGAGCTGATTTTGAAATGTCTAATGATGGTTCCTTATAATGGTTAAGCTACACAGATGTTGGTTACAGAAATTTGGTTTTGAATATCTGTGTACCATTTACTAGGGTTTTCATGTTGAGTTAGGACTTACTCACATATAAAATGAGTCACATTGAACAAACCAATGATGGTAGATTTGGACAGGCCTCGCACATAATAACACATTTTTGTTCCTTTTCTGAATTTTGAAGAAGAGAAAACATCAAGGAGCCAAGATTTTACTAAGGCGTAGTCATACTGTCTTCTAGCAACATTCGATTTTGTGGCTCCACTACACAGAGTGCACCTGTGGGAGGAGACGTCTGAAATACCTTCTGACGTGAGGGTGGCCTGAAGGAGAGCGGGGACTGCGGCCTCTTTGGTTGACAGCTTGTACCATTAGCCGTCCAGTACAACTGATGCGGCCCTGTCAGACAACAGGAAAAGAAATGATTGGCTAGGCAAAACTACTAACAATTAAACACTACCATGTCTATCATCCTGTTCTCCTTAAAATATTTCACAACAAAGAAGTGTCTCATATTAGGACACCAACGCTCTTCAGAAATGCACTTTCCCCACAGTAAGCTCAGTAAAATTCTGAATTTATTTTAGAAATTTAGGTGACAAGACAAGTTCTTCCTCTGAAATGTTAGATAAGCTTTTCCGTTTAGGGTCATGTCTACAAGGACAATCCTTATTGGATTTAATTGTAACCTGTGAAGGACTGGAAACTGAGTCAGAAGATATTACTGTCTCGTGATGACTCTATTTTCATGATCGAGTGTCTACGGATGGCGGCCAATTCTGAAATCAAAACTAAAAGACGTTAGTGTTCTGTCAGGTGATTTTAGTTAATGTACTTGTTAAATGATAGTGGAATTTTCCCAAAGCGATACAGCAAGAGACGTCAGCAGGGCATTCTGTTAGAAGTGCACCTGGGGGCGCAAAAGCAACACACGTCTATATGACATCGCGTTCACTCGAAGGGAACATATTGAGCTTTGAAAACTGGAAGACGTGAAATACCTAAAGTACGTGGGTCTTGCAATAATGGTCCAACAAAAAGTTGTATTTTATCTCTTAAATTTGTCATCAACGTTTGATAAATACTGTCATAGGGAATGATAAAAGTAATGTGTGTGGAATCCAGATGACATGGATAAGCCATCCATTAGTTTGGGTTTTGTTTGCTTCAGTCCTTCCCCTTAGTTCTGTTTTTCCGTCAGTTACCAGAAGACTATATACATTCAAATATAAGCGACCCTCTCTTCACTGCGAGTATATATCCATCCCATTTCTGATTTCGTCAAAAGGGACAGCAGGAGAGCAAAAGTGAGGCTTAGTTAATTATCTCTGAGGGTGACTTGTAGCCCTCACGCGCTCTACACTTGCACTAAAATGCCCCCATTGGCTCCCATTTCCACCGGTAACAAATGGTGCTCAGAAGGGTACTGATGTCGGAAGGAACAAGGGGGAAAAAATAAACAAAATGAAACGAAACAAAACAAAAACTCAGCAGGATTCCGTAGAGATCAGGCCTGCAGTCAGATATCCCAAAGTCTTGTCTTCTGGGCGTGCAAGAAGCACTCAGGAAATGCAGACGCAGGGGCGTATCAGAATTAGGAGTTCCCAAGAGAAAGAGGTAGTTGTAAAGACACACAACGCAACTAGTCTTATACCATTCGACACGTGCCTCCCTCTAACAATCACAAGATTTGCTATTCAAGCCTCAATGTGTTTATTGAACATTTCCATGCTGCGTGGAAATATCTAATTTTATTATATTTAGAGCTCAAGCCACATGACACCAGTATCTCTCATGCTGAACTCTTGTCATACGCTTGGGATTCCCTAAACTAGCTCAAAATCTACAAATCAATTCCATCTGACCAGAGACTGACTTGTCATTCTGTGCTAGGTTGCATATGGTTACAATGTTGGGAGAATTCCAAGTAGCAGCAGGGTCACCCTGACGAACAGGTTTCAGCAGAGCAGACGAAGACCCTGGCAGTCTACTGCTGTAACAGCCCAGTTGAGAAAATCTCAGAGCTGCTCTGTTCCATAACATACGGTGTCTGCACGACTTAGAGCAGATTCAAGGGCAACAGGCTTGATTTGGGGGGGGTGAATCCTAGACTAAGACAAACTAGCAGGCATGCTATTTTAGAAAAAGTACACATTTCTGTACCATTTTCAAGATTTCCACTGCTACTCCTTTGAATTACATACACAACCGTTGTCCTAGAATCTTTTCTTCCCTCTCCCAAACTTCAGACACAAGAATATGTTCTCATGTGCCATAATTTTTATTCCTACACTAATTCTCCCCTCAATTCTGAACACGAAGAGGGGGGAATGGTCTTTAGAAAGCAGAATTAATAGTTTGACTTAATATAGTGCTCATGACTAAATATGCTATGTGTCAATAAGTGACCAAAAATATTTAGAAATCATCCTAGGAAACAGTATAATTTTGACGTTTTTTTATTGGAAAAAAATATCCAGAATTCAGTGAAAGTATTTTTGTAGTGATACTTCTAATGTATACTAATTAAAAGTTCAAACGATAAAATGTGAATATCTTTCTTTAATGAGAATCATCTTACAGTCACACAGAATTAGAGTTAACTAATTTCTAATCATATGAAATGTACCAATTAAATCTCAGTAATCATCATAATTAGTAGGCTCTGCTGCACATTAATGCTGCTGCATTTGCTTTTACTAGATTTCTCATTTCTATCTGCGTTATTATTGCCACATGTAGTAGTGATGGAAGCGAACGTTTAAAGCTTGAAATAAGCCAGGAAAGTATAATGCCAAAACAAAGCACAATCAACAAACCAAATTTTTATATTTAAGTCAGCTGTGTGTTACTTTTCTATCCCAAACAAATCCACAGGATTTAAAGCTACAGTGCAACCACTAAGCTTGACTTTTGAAGTGATTCTGCATTAAATATCCAGCTTGTGAGGATTATTTGATTTCTCCCACATGCAAGGCCAGCTATTTACATTATATGGGAATAACATTTATATTTCATAGTTTATGAAATTTAACCTGTGGCACATAGGTCCTCCTAAGAGCTTTCCACTAATATACATAACACAATTTGAGGAAGCATCAAGCTGCAAAACAGCCATTCCAAAACTCAAATGCAATACAAAGTAACTTAGCAACACAACAAAACCAAGCAAAACATTCATGTTTAGATTTAGTTGTGTCTTTAAGATAGGATTAGAGTCTAAAATAAACTATTTGTGAGGTTCCTTTTGGCATCATGCTTGCTGTGATACTGCATAATCACTCAGTATTTCACTAAACTATGTGGTTGCTTTGGTCTCTCATGAATTGCTTGAGCCGCACACAGCCAGGGCAAGACACAGCCCAGTCAGGACATGTTTAGAGCTGTGTGTTCCATCACACAGAGTTTGGATGCAGTCAACAATAGCTGAAATGTTTCTTATTCCCAGAAGATTAACCCAGGTGGGAAAATATCATATTCTATAAAATATTCTACTGAATGTTAGCATTTTTCTCCTTCCTTGGTTCTCACCCTTTCTCTTGGCTGTTTTCTGTCGTTATTTTCCACTGCCGTCTGTGTTTCATTACCCAACAAAGTTTTCCACTCCAGTCCATTCCCCTTTCCCTTGGTCCTTTCACATCGTGGAGTCTACACTATGCTAGAGAAAGAGATGTCGTGGTCTCCTTCTCAAACCTAACTACTTTGGGAATTAGGAAAAAAATTCAAGGTAACCAAAGAACATCAAAAGAGCGGGGCTTTAACTTCTGTTTTCTGTTGACTATACATTATGCATTTGGCTTTAACATTTGGAAAGCTTTAGCTTTTACTTTTCAATTTTTCTTTCAGGGTCTACCTATGATGTTTTGTTTCAACCAGCTTCTAATTTACCAAGAAAGAAAATAGGAAAATAATATACAATAGCAGATGCTATAAAGCTGAGAAGAAAATTTCTGTAATGTATTTCTACAGCAGCAAATGATAACTTCTGCCCTGAGTTAGAGATAACAGTGGTCTGCCACTTATCAGTTTTTATAGTCCCACTTTGTTTTTCCTGGTGGGTAAAGTAAACTTCTTTCCATTGGTAAGTGATCTCACAAAATCAGCACCTGGCATATTTGGCTGTAGCATTACTAAAGATCCCAGGATAGAAAGGCAGGTATTTCCCTGGGAATTACAATGCACCCGTTAATACGCTCCGAGGTCTGATGGCGTACTGGTTATGCATTGGGCTGCTAACCGCAAGGTCAACAGCTTGAAATCACCAGGTGCTCTGTGGGAAAAAGAAGAGGCTATGCACTTCAGTAAAGAGTGAACACTGTCTTGGAAACCAACTGGAACGCTCCAGGGTCCTGTAGGGTCCCTGTGAGTTGGAATTGACTTGATAGCAGGGCGTGGCAGTGAGTGAATATGCTCAGGGACTTGGAATCACATGCACTCTCTAGAGGCAAAGATACAAAGACATCTCCCAAATAAGGACAACGGGTCGTGCAGACCGATCTACACAGTGTTCTGGAGGAGCTCTTCAGATTTTGCTCCTGAGTTTTCCTTCCTTCGTCTGTTGCTGCTGCTTAGGTGGAAAGAAGACTGAGTCCTGCCTTCTGGTGATCAGCACACACGGAGACAGAATTCTAGGTCCTAGGGACTGCTTTGATCATTTTGACTCGGGCTCTGTCGGGCATGGTGCTGGTGGTGGTCTATAGACCCAGAGAAGTCATAGTCCCCTATGCCTAAATCATAGAACAAAATATTCTGTTAGAAAAAAATCAAAAGAAAACAATCCCACTGCCATCAAATCCATTCTAAACCATAGCAACCCTCTATGGAGTTTCTGAGAGAGAAACCTTTCCGGGAGCAGACAGCCTCCTTTTCCCTGTGGAACTGCCGCGGATGGATTAGAAGCCTGACTTACAGTGCCACCAGAAAGGAGGGAGTTGGTGCAATGTGATATAAACAGGTTCACATCTCCTTTCTTTGTCTTCTCTCCAGATAGTAAAGGTAAAGACAGAGACAGTTAACCATCGTGTTAGCCTGAGATGTGGTGAAGCAGCAGGACTCGCTGGGGCCTGGGGCGAGGGCAGGGATCGCTCTCTCCGTGGCTTTCTCTGGGCTGCAGAGAGCTTGCAGAGAGCAAGCTTCCCAGCTTCACGTGTGGCTCGAATCCGCTGTCAGGAGGGAGTGTCCCATCCTTCAGCTCACGGCTGTGGCAGTGATGGCACAGCCACATCTGCTGCTGACCTTGTTTCCCAAGAGAGGGTTAAGAAGGAAAAGCCAGGAGGTAGGAAGACCACACACCACCTTGTGGGGTGGAAATCCCATCCCACTCCAACTGGCTTGCTTTCGTAAGCTAGCCTGTGGGAGCAGAATATCTAGGAACACATCTGACCCTTTCCATCCCGGCTCCAAATGCTTCGGCAAGCAACACAAGCTGCTGTTCTGGCACAGGGCGACAAGTCTTTGGGTAAACATACGGACAGTCAGTAACATTCATCAAACGTGTACCAGGAGTGAGGTATAGTGAGTACCGGTACTTGACATACACCATTTAAATCTGTACAATGACGCTCATTTCAAAGGAAACAAAACTGAGGCCAAGAGAGGCAGAAGTGTCTGCGCCACACGACAGAGAGGGAACCCCAACCGAGACCTTCTGATGCCAACGGTCAGTCTTCATCCTGCACTGTGGGCTCAGCCCTTGGCTTGGCAGAAACAGCACCACCACTCTGTGTCCCTAGCCTGCTGTATAACTTCTTTTTTGTGTCTCCTCCTTGGCTTATGTTTCCAAGGCTGTCTTCATCAGCCCTCTTTTTACCTACTAATTTCATTATAGTTTTCCAGAAAGAGTTTAAAAGATCAAAGGCTATTGACTTTTGAGGCTAACCTGCTGTCTTTAACTTTGCACACACTACGAGACCACCATTGCCCTTAGTGCTGAACTTCGTGCAAAAATACATCCGCATAACTTGAAGAAGACTAGAAAGTAGGTCTGGTTCAAGTTTTACATTTATGTCTGTTTGTTCTGTAAAATTGCAGATTGCTATAAAATAGCAACAAAACAAAAAAAAAAACCCTTTTAGGAAAAATATCTTGAAAGTAATAGTAGGATCCTAGTACTTGTGAGGACAAAGGAACACAGATTAATTTCATGCCCATAGTATACCTCAGCCTCTCTAGGGGAAGGGAGGTATAAAAGACAACATGGAGCCAATTTTTAAATTTTATTGAGTGTCCTATCATGTTTTTAATAGGAAGAAAATGGAAATTGAGATTTTTCAACTCCAGGAAATATACTGAAAACCCCTTAAGGAAAAAAAAAACCAAGTTCTACTTTTACTCCTGCATCTACATATACCAAATGTGAACACAAATAAATATTAAAATGTCAACTCTTAGATGAAGGTTAAAGTTTTTGTTTGTTTTTATTTTATGGTCATGTATTCACTTATTTAAAAATACAATCTCAGATTGTATATTCATATGGACACTATTTGTTGATAAAGTTTGCTGTTTTGTCACAATTGATTAGCTACATAATTTGAATTTTATTCAAACCCTAATACTATTATAGAAAAATACTTTATATGATGAAAACATTCCAAAAACCATAAGCAGTGTACAAACTCTTAAAAGTTTGTAAGCATTGCTAAATTTATATGTATTATTTTCTTTCAAAAGATAATAAACAATGGATATGATATAAACAAATCAGAAGTCTTTAAAAGATAAGAAAATTGCTGGCTAATTTTCATTAGTTATATATTCTAATTTTTATTTTTATCCTCCTTTAAAAAAATATCTACACAATTTCTGGGGACGTAATTAGCCTGTAACACATTGAGTTCTTATGTTAGAAAATTACATCTTACTTATTTTTGTGTCCTCTGTACTTAGTGCAGTGTCTAAAATATTCAAGATGCTTAATAAAATAGAATTTACTGGTTTGAAATAGGATCATGATAGCCTGTAGCCCACTATTAAACCCTAAACAGTCAAATGATTTTTTGATCATAAACATAAAGGCAAATACAGGAGAGAAAATGTTTTAATAGAAACCGAATATTTACTGAATGCTATATATAGGTAGGTACTATCAAACTTATACTTTGTCCACCCTTACACATTACTTAACTGTCACTGATGTACATATATGTGTCTGTTGTGGTAGGTAATTTCCTGTGATTTTTGTTAACTATTTGATGTGAGCTATGCACGCCAGTCCTCATATCCTTCGTTTTCTTCACAGAACTTAATCCTACCAGAAGTGATATTATCTGTGTTTGTTTCTTTGGGGCATTGTCTTGTGCACCACTGAAACACCATCATCTATATGGTACACAGTAGTTGTACATACTGGGCCCTCAGCAATGGTTATGAAAAGAATGCATAACTGCACCCAAATCATTCCTGCAGATGAACACCTACTGAGATACATAAATACACAACAAATATCTTTTCTACCCTTTGAAACCAAGATAGATGTAGAATTTCAAAATGTAGTTTTATAAGTCAAAGAACTATGACTCTACTTTTTAATTGAATAGTTTTAGTGTCCAATTAAATGCTTGTAAGGACTATACAAAGGACTCTACTACACCAGCCCATAGCCATCTTCACCTGAGGGTTTGCAGCCATAATGGTGTAGTTCCCGTCGTCATCTAAAGTGGAAGCTATGGTCTGCAGAGAGCAGGTCCCACCAAGATCTCTTTGAATAATGTAGTGTTCACTCTTTGGAGAGATCTGCTTCCCATCCTTAAACCAATAGATCTGTGAAAGGAAACACGATTAACTAGTAAGAGAGTATATAGGCTCCTTAGACCTAAGGAATAAAGTTCAGAAATAAATCCACAATCTATAGTCAACTGATTTTGGACAAAGGTGCTAAGTCCAATGGGGAAAGAAAAGTCTCTTCAATAAATGTTGTTAAGAAACTTGGATTTCCACATGCAGAAACATGAAACAGGATCCTTGCCTCACACCATGCACGAAAACAGATTAAAAATGGATTAAAGACTTAAATGTGTAAACTGTTGTTGGGTGCCATCAAGTTCGTTCTAACTCCTAATGACCCTGTGGACAACAGAACAAATCACCATCCAATCCTGTGCCATCCTTATAATTGTTCTTATGTTTTAGTCCATTTTGCAGCCACCATGTCAACCCATCTCATTGAGAATCTTCCTATTTCTTGCTGCCCCTCCATAATGTCCTTCTCAGGGACATTGTGTCTTCTCTTGGTAACATGTCTACACTATTTGAGACAGAGCCTCACCTCCTTGCTTCTAAGGAGCATTCTGGCTATGCTTCTTCCAAGACTGATTTGTTTGCTTTTTTGACAGCCCATTGTACTTTCCATAATCTTAGCCAACAACATCGTTCAAATGCATTAATTTTACTTCGGTCATCCTTATTTAATGTCCAACTTTCACATGCATATGAAGCAATGGAAAATACCATGGCTTGGGTCAGGCACACCTTAGTTCTCAGTTACAGCCTTGCTTTACAGCACTTTAAAGAGGCCTTATGCAGCAGACTAATTCATTGTAATGTGTTGTTAGATTTCTTAACTGCTGCTTCCTTGAGCACTGATTGTGGATCTCAACAAGATGAAATCCTTGACAACTTCAATCTTTTCTCCACTTATCATCATGTTATTTATTGGTCCGGTTGTGAAGATTCTGTTTTCTTTACACTGAGTTGTAATCCATACTGAAGACTGCAAACTTTGCTCTTCATCAGCAAGTGCTCTAAGCCCGCCTCACTTTCAGCAAGCAAAGTTGTGTCATTTGCATATCACAGGTTGCTAATAAGACTTCCTCTAATCTTGATGCTACATTATTGTTCATATAATTCAGCTTCTCTGATTATTTGTTCAGCATGCAGACTGAATAAATATGTTGAGAGGATACAACTCTGATACACACCTTTCTTGACTTTAAATCATTCCCTTGTCCTGTTCACTTTACTGCCTCTGGAAGCATGTACAGGTTACTACCTGAGCACGATGAAGCGCTCTGGAATTCCCATTCTTCTCAAGGCTCTTCATAGTTTGTTATGATCCAGTCAATGAAATAAGTAAACATCTTTCTGGTATTATTAGCTGTCAGCCAAGCTCTATCTGACATCAGCAATAGTAAACCTTGTTCCATTTCCTCATCTACATCTGGCCTGAACCTCTGGCAGCTCCCTTTACGTAAACTGCTGCAACCATTGTTGGATAATCTTCAGCAAAATTTCACTTCCCTGCAATATCAATGATATTGTTTTATAGTTTGAGCATTCTTTTGAGGCACCTTTGGAATGGGAAATATGGATCTCTTCCAGTCAGTTGACTGAAACATGTACACTAAAGCCATACAATTCCTAGCGGACCATGCACAGGCAATGCTGCCAAGGGTAGCTTTCAACCCTGGGTTATGAAACTTTATAAATTTCATGAAAATGGGGATGTAGGAGGAAGCATCATTTTAGGTATTTGCAATTTGTGATTAACAATGACAACCTCACATGAGCAGTACATGATGTAGATGTGTGAAAAGCTCTTTGTCAATTCCTCAATTAGAACTCAACTATTAACTTCCTACTATGTTACATCACTCCTTTCTTCTGGTTTCTAATGCCTTCTGAAGATGGCCCTGAACTTAACTCTGCAAAACCAAACACTGCTGCTGAGTCGATTCTGACTCATTGTGATCCTGTAAGACACAGTACACCACCCCCACCCCCACCACCCCCAGCCCCGCCCCTCCCCGAGGGTTGTCAAGACCCTCTGTGATAGCTGACCGCCACATCTTTCTCCTACAGAGCAGCTGGTAGTTTGGAACTGCTGGTCCTCTGCTTATCCACTGTGTCAGCAGGGCTCATTGGCCTTGAACTTAAGGCGTACACAAGATTTTACATCAGGGATCTGGAGAAAGGTAGTCTGTATCTCATCCTACAGCATATGCTATGTATGTTTTGGAAGTTCAGCATTTTCTCAGAAAATACGACTTGTAAAAAGTGATGTTTTTGGCTCACCTTTGGCTTTGGGTTACCAGCCACTCTGCATGTGAAAGTCACAGGCATTCCCTCAAAGATTTTGTAATGTTTCAGCTTCACCTCAAAGAATGGCGCCACTCCATTTTCCACAGGCTCATCTCCGTACTGAACCTCATCACCTGACTCATCCACGGGAGACCTTTCCAGCCTGTACTCTATCTCACTGATGAGTCTCTGTTCACAGCTGGAGACTTTGTATTCCTGCATTAAACAAAGAAAGGGCATATTAGCAATCCAGCCCTTCCCGATATTTATCCTCCTCTCCAAAGAGACACTCAAAAGGCTTTTACCATAGAGCTTAAAAAACAAGTCTGAGCCCATTTCAATCCCATATAAAACAAAAAACATCTGGAAGTAAGTATACTGGTATATGGTATTTCATTGTCTTCAAGACCCATCGTCCAAAAAAGAAAAAAAAATCTGCAGATGAACATCTTTCTATTTTTTCCTCAATATTTTGGCTAGGCAGGGAATGGAAAGGGGTGGTGGTGGAGGAGAGGAAAAGCAAAAGCTAGGCATTCCTGCACTGCTCACAGCAATACAACAGTGGACCATGAATCTCTCTCCAAAGGCTAAGCATTAACTCAGAATGGAGCATATCTTCCCAAGAACTGAGTTCCAGAGCTCACGTGGCATAAACTGCAATACTGCACTGCATTTACCAAAGGAGGATGCAGAAAAGGCAGCATCACGCTTTGTTTTCACTTACATCGCCTCCATACCCCGTCTTTGCTGGGCAGCTATGAGAAACTACTTCCACACTCCATAAAACTACAACATGACCCATCACCTTCCAATGAGAATTAAGGTAGATCCAACAGTTCTCTTGCTTACATTTGCAGGGGAACCCATTAAAAAACAAACAAACAAACTCCATTTAATAATAAAAACATTTTAAACTAGCTTTTCCCTAGAATAAGCTAATCAGCCTTCAAGGAAAAGAAACAAACCAGTTGTAGCTTGTGAGGAGGAGACATGTAATGGAATGAATAAACTGCAAAATCATGCCATGGGTTGTGGTACATTCAGCAATGTAAAATCAGTAATTTAATTTTCCCTACACAAGTATAAGATGTGAGAACAATTTTCATAATTTAATGTTCAGTGTATTCATTGATGAAGTAAATATGAATTATATTCAACTTCGTGAGTAATAATGATAGCAATCACATCACTAATTTTGTTAATATGATATTAAGTTAAAATACGTGCTGATCATACCATTATCTTTAAGTCCTAGCATCCAAAAAATGTTATCATTAGCAAGGGGCAGAGGAGACAGCTAGATTCTAAGAAAGGAAGAACAGACACAAACAAACTGGGTAGGAGAAGAAAGGTGGAAAGCTTAACCTTTTGACCATCCAGAGGACTCCCTACAGAAGCATGCGGGGACTCGATTTCCTGTAAGGATAGGAGAAAGATGTGAAGACTATTAATAGAAATAGAAAGAATATAATAGTAAGATTCCTAGTTTTCTTAGATAAAACTTTTGTGGTAGTAATATTTAACATGGAAAAAAACCTTTCAGAGTTTGAAACTTTCCAGACAGCATAATTCCATATGGAAGTTAGGAATAGAGGCAGTAAAGATTGTAAAACAGCCTCCATAAGTTACTCTTTTGGTGGAAGACAAACAAACAAACAAAAACCCTACTGTCATTAAGTCAGTTCCAACTCAGCAGCAGGGGACAAAAACAGTATGTTAGCCTTCTGCTGACATGTGATTTATAAAAATAAGAGAAAGAAAATAAGAACAGTCTTTTCTCTACATAAGTATTTTACTTTGGATATTAAATCTATAAGGGGGAATATCTGCAATTATTTTTAGTAATCTCAGTGAAAATGTTTTCCTCTATGCAAAAACATTTTCACATTAAAGCACAAGACAGGTAAAATGAACAGATATTTGAGAATAAATTTATCGTGAGAAGATAAATAGAATAGGTATCATTAAAATTAGCCCATGAATCACTTAACACAGTGTCTGATACTTATAAGTGCTCGATAAATACTATGAGATGGACTGATGATATGAATCCTGCTGTTCTGTGACTTGTTTTCTAATTTTCACAAACTGACTTCAAGAATAGCATCCAAAAGAGTATAGGGAGAAGGGATGGTTATTTTTGGAAGACGTTGAAAGTCACATTGTACCTGATTATTAGTTGTTTCCTCCTCTGGCTCCTGAATATTAAAGACAGTTGCACTATCGGCACCCAGTAGTCGACGAGCCATTCTTTCTTCATATGTTAACCTCTAAACAAAATAAGTCACCAAAAAAAACAAAGAATTAGAAATATTACAAGTGTCTGCTACCTCATGACAAGTGAAAAATAAAGTGGATGATCTCTATTTTCTCTCTGCTCTTCAAGTTTTACTGTTTACATTTCTCAGAAATAGACCACCAGGTACTTCCTTCCCAGGCGGTGAAATTTTGTTTCCTGCTTGGGGAACAAATGCTACAGAAACTGTTGTGATGTTGCACACAGCTTACAAGGACAGCACTCTGGAAAAACTTAAGTGTGCAAGTGGTTTTCTCATTTCAAAAAAGGTGAGATGTCGAGACTGATGACAAACCTTGTTCTGGATTTCCTGAACAGAAAAAAATGTCAACTTATACTGCACTTGGAGTTTGTTCTACCAGGTCAGACTGTTAGTCAAGCTTTCTATTTAGAGGTTCTGAAAAGACTGTGTAACAGTGTGTGACAAAAAAGACCTGATTTGTGGCAGACCCTGGGGGTTGGTTTTGCCACCAGGACAATGCACCTGCTCACATAGCCATCTCAGTGCACCAGTTTTTGGCAAAAAAGAGCATGCCTCTCTTGCCCCACACACCTTACTCACCTGACCTCACTCTGTGTGACTTCTTTTTGTTTCCTCGAATGCAGAGGGACATAAAAGGACATTGATTTGATGATAGGAAAGAGGTAGAGAAAAAGACAAGGGAGGTGCTTTCAGCCATCCAAACAAATGAGTTTAAAAAATGTTTCCAAGAATGGAATCGCAGATTTGACAAATGTATTAAGCATAATGGAGAGTACTGTGAAGGTGATAAGGTGGTTTTGTAAAAAAAATTTAAATACATAGCTTTGAAAAAAAAATTCAATTTGGGGGGGGGTCCCCTCTTGTACAACACATACAAGCTTCACTGGTTTTGCTCCTCTATAGAACCCAACTTAACACAGCTACTATTAATCAAATGTACACACCTACAGTAAAGCTAGTAGTGATGAAGAATCTGAAAATTTTGCCAACTTCTGCAGTCTGAAATTGATCAAATATCAATCAAGATGCATGGATAATTGCTGACATTTGGAATGTTAAAGCTGGAAATAAAGGAGGATTAGACATTGGAAAACATACCCTTGGTAATATGAACAACACTTAAGGTTGCACAATACAACTTTGTAGGATCAATGCAAAAAATCCTTTTATAACAATACAAATGGCAACTGGACACATAGACTTCACCAGATGGAATATACAGAAAACAAATTGACTACATTTATGGAAAGAGACAATGAAGAAGCTCATCATAAGTCAGAACAAAGCCCAGGGCCAAGTGCAGAGTAGAGCATCAATTACTCAGATTTAATTTTTTGATGAAGCTGAAGAAAATGAATATAAGAAGCCTATGAAAGCCAAAGCATGACATTGTGTAGATCCCACCTAAATTTAGAGAGCATCAAGAATCAGTTGACTAAAAATGAACATCAGAGTTGTGAGATAACAGAGGAATTGCTATCAAGGACTCAAGTAGAAAGAAAATACTTTGAAAATGATGATGGCCACTGAGATAGTTTATTGTGCCAGCCTGGCTGATAAACACAAGTGGGATTAACTGAAGGGCAGAGAGATAAATGGCTTGGTGAGCCTTGCCTTTCTTGTCTCTCGCTCTGTGATCATTGGACCAGTGTGCGGCTGCCTTGCTTGTTCTGTGCCTCAATTTAAAGGCTACACTACCTGTGGGACGCCTACCCTGTGGACTGTGTCGCTGTAAGTTGAGGTCCCTTTAAGACATCTCTGGAGCTGGGGAATGGTGGTTGGTGACCTGCCTTGTGATTGGCTGCTGTGCTGACATAGCCTAGCTCTCTCTACAAATAGAGGAAGATCTGGCAGCAGACTGGACTTGAAGGACTGCTAGTCTCTCAACTTTCTCTCACGGACGTGAGTTGCACTGAGCCATTTGTAGTGCTTTATAATTTAACTGTTTATTTCTTGTATTATATATTTTTCTGTATATGATTTAACAGTTCATTTCTTGTTATATATCTAATTATCTTTATAAATAAATATATTAAATTATCAGCAATTTGGTTTTATCTCTCTAGAGAACCCTGTCTAACTCAGCCACATGTGTACAAATGTGCTTGCCACAATGGATGAATGTATGGATTGTGATAAGGGCTGGAAGAGTCCCCAATAAAAATATTTAATAAAAAAACATAATCAAGAAAGTAAAAAATAATTAAAATGATAAGAAAAAAAAAACACTGGACATCAGAAGAGATTCTGAACTTGTTCTTGACTGTACAGTAGCTAAAATGAAAGATACGTTGTAGGTAAAAAAGCTGAACACGGAGTGCTGTGTCATTGGAAAATTGTTGATGTTATGCGCGTAATCTCCTTATACCGCAAGGGGATGATTGGCAATGTTTTACTTTTTTGTTTCTATGGGTTTTTGTTTTCTTACCGTTTTGTTGTTGTTTCCTTGTTTGCTGGTTGGTTTGTTGCTGTTGTTGGTGTAGTTGTTCTTATGGGGGTTTGATTTTGTCATAATAGGACTGCCAAAGTAATCCTGAGTTGTGCATATCTCCTGGACAAGCAGATGGATTCTGGGCTCCTATTTAACTACAGCCCCAATTCAAGAACAGTTAGTTCTGAAAACATGACCCTGCTCCATACTCACCTTCATGAAATGTTCATTGAGTGTGGTAAAGAGAGCAGATGGTGCTTGGCTATCAATTGGAATAGTGTCTGGAGTCTTAAAGGCTTGTATTCAAACAAGCAGTCATCTAAGAGAGGAGTCAACTAAGTCCACATGGAAGAATCATTACAAGCTGAGTGATCCAAAGATGACAATAACAAAATCCAAATATGACAAAGGGAAAAGTATCAGAACTTAAATTGTGAACACCCAATTTGTAGAAGGCTATGGATGACAGTGGAAGCCCAAAACCCATCTGCAGAATATCCAGTCACTTTAAGCCTCTGGCAGATCCCCTCTAGCCACAAGCAAGGGCCTCAAACAACTTTACTATTATATAGAGATCATTGTAAACTTGATTATGCTGGATCACACTTGATACTTGTCAGGTGACCTCCCTCTTGCAACCTGAATTTGTTCTAGGCTCGAGTATTTCTTGCATGTTCTATGACAAAAGTTTCTTCCCTGGACTTTTAAATATTGATGGTGGTCTTTTCTTTCTTAACTCATTATTTGTATTTTTATATTATTATTTTATCCTTACCACATTATTTTGTTTTTGATTGTTTCTGTTGGGCTTCCCAGTTTGTGAAACACAGGAGCAGATTCATAAAGATAATAACTGAAGCAAGAGTTCATAGAGAATGCAGGGTTGCGAAATAAGGAGAGTGAGATAAGGAGGATTTGGGGAAGAAATAATGAATGCGGGAGGGAGCACAAGAATGGATTGTGATTATATAACTCATTGTACAAGTGATTTAACCATGGAAGTATATGATATGTGGATACTATATCAAGAAAACCATGCAAAGAAAGAAAAGAAAGAAAGCTCTAACAAAAGCTACCACAGGTGAAGGCGAAAGAGTTATTGTGTAGAGGGCAATGAGTTTATGTCAGCGGTGGTGGAATAATTTGGAAAAGGATATCAATAATGGCTGTACAGTGTGAAGAGTATAATCAATGACACTGAATTATACAAGTAGAAGTTGTGGAATTGGAGAATTTTCTCTTGTGTATATTTTTGCCTCAGAAAAAAAAAATTACATGAATAACAATGATTATGAGGAAGAAGAAAATATTCTAGAATTGAATATAATGACTATTGTACAACTCTTCCTGATATGATTGAATTACCGAACTTTATGATATGTGCATAAAGTGCTAATAAAAATGTTTAAAAAACAAAACA